TTGACCTTGCCAAGAATGCTTGGGGCATGATTGTGGGTGTTCGTGTCTTTGCAGATTTACGAATTTTGCAGATTTCCGGCGTAAGGCTCCATGCATCGTGTTCATTGACGAGATTGATGCCATTGGTCGCCAGCGAGGAGCCACATCTCCCGTTTCGTACTTGCAAGCCTGGATGTTGCTCCAGTGCCAGATCATGCAGGAGCTGGGATGGGAGGTGGCAACGACGAGCGTGAACAGACTCTGAATCAGATCTTGACTGAGTCCTGGCTGCCAGCCAGCTTAAAGTTTGAGTGATCCAGATCACTTGAGCAAAGCATCGAGGGAAGCAGCTCAGGAGATGGATGGCTTCGAAGGCCGAGCTCAATGGGTAGATTTCCATGATGAAGGGATTGCCCGAAGTGTTGCAGCTAGATCTTGAAGGCAACAGTGGTGTCATTGTTGTCGCGGCCACAAACAGATCTGACATTCTGGACAACGCATTGCTGCGTCCAGGACTGCTTCTTCATCGTACCTTTTTTGTTTGTCCAATGGGTACCCAACAGTGCCGTCGCATGTCAACTACTTAGGACGTTTCGATCGACGCGTGACCGTGGGCCTGCCTGATGTCAAGGGACGTGAGCAGATTCTGAACGTGCATATTCGCATCTTGGGCAGAATCTGCTAGCCTGCTGGACGGTGATGCAGGCATGATTTGCATGGGGCGTTTTGATGACATTTGATGAAGACAGAGCTCTAGATGCTAGTTTAGGGTGTGCTGAGGCAACAAAAAGCTGGAAGAGGAGATCACGCTGACAGATATCGCAAAGCGGACTGCAGGCTTCAGTGGAGCTGACCTGGAGAATCTGATGAACGAGCATCTTGGACATGAGCCGGATATCGCTCCATGCAACCCTCAACGGCAGGATATTTCTTTCCGATATCCAAACAAGCAAGCAATGTGCATTTGGCCCAATCGTATGGACAGACGCGCCAGCAGACGTTCAAGGTCAGCGATTCTGGCGGCGCGCCGCAACAAGAAGGCCATATCCATGGATGAGATCAACGATGCGACCGATCGTGTGATTGCAGGACGGCCTGCTCCACCCATAATTTCTGTTCTCTTTTGAAGATGAGTAAACCCCTGAATACCAGTGCCGAATAGTGCGGTAACCCGGTAACCTGCAACCCCGACCCCCGCAGCTTGGCCAAAACTTCCTCCTTGTGATGTTGTGGGTGCTTGTCAAGTTTGGGTCCCTTGAAACGGCCGGGTGCAGCGCGGTAGGGCTCGGCCTGCAGGTTTGGAAGGCCGAGCCCTGCAAGACAACTCCGCAAAGAAGCTCATCGCTTACCACGAAGCAGGCGCCAGGTTTGCCATCTATGAAGCTTTGGCAGCAAGGGGTTCTATTGGTATTCTAATGTAGCCGTCTTCATATCGGGATTTTCCCATCTCTAGGTAAGCAGTTTCGCCGACTTGAATGGAAACTCCCAGTGAATTTCGCCTCTTCTCTTAGCTTTGCTGTGCTAAAGACGCGACAGGTCATGCTATTGTTGGCACGCTGCTGCCGTATCATGATCCTGTCAACAAGGCCTCCTGCATCACCAGAAAGCTCCCCATCACCTGGGCCTTGAAGCTTTGCTTGCATGCTGGTCCAGGTCACACTGATTCCTCGAGGCCAGGCTAAAGGCCTCACGTGGTTCACAC